GGGAGGAGGGTCAGTGCAGGAGAGGAAAACCCTGGAGGAGATGGATTGACACAGTGACTGTGGCTATGGGGGCAGGTATGTGAGAGACAGTGACACTGGCTCAAAATAGGGCAGGGTTCAGAGCTATTGTTCAAAAAATCGCTGTGGGTCGTAGTTGACAGCACACATGAACCACCACCTCCAAGATGTGTGTTGATTGTGGATCCAAGTAAATTGAAGTCCTTGTTAACTTCAGTCTTTTCTCCATTTATCATGAAGTTACCTATTGGTCCAGTTAGGAGAATTTTTGTTTTCTTTATATTGAAGTAAGGAATGGCTATCAAGATGTGCAGTCAACATGTATTAATAATAATTAGTGGCCAGAATGCATCAACACCCTTGGAGTCAGCAGTCAGGAGATCAGGATTGCCTGGGAGAGTCTGCAATCAGAGATCTCTCCAAATTACTGAGGAGCCATGACATCAGTTTGAAGACAAAGGTGCTCCTGATTCAGGTCATGGTTTTTTTGCATCATTCTCTATGCACCTGAAAGCTCGACAATGAGTAATTATGAGAAAAGAATTGATGCCTTTGAGCTGTCACATTGGAGAAGAGCACTGAATATACTATGGACTTCCAAAAGAATAAACAGGAAGGGAGCTCTGGTGGTTTAGTGGCAAGAAGCTGCACAGCAATCCCGAAGGCATGCAGTTCGAATCCACCAGATGCTTTCCTGGAGAAGGAGGGGCACTCTCCTCCTGTACCAGTCGGATCTGATTCAAAGGTACACAACAATAACAACAACAAAAGAATAAACTGATATGTCCTGGAGAAAGTACAGTCAGAATGCTATACAGCCAGCAGGGAAAGATGGAAATTCTACATCTCATATACTTTGGACATGTTGCTAGAAGAGGCTGTTCCTTGGAGAGGGACATCATACTTGGAAAGGTGGAGGGTCACTGAAAGAGAGGAAAACACTTAACCAGATGGGTTAACACAGTGACGGCAGCAACTGGCTCAAGCATGTCAGAAATGATGATGATGGCACAGGACAGGGCTCAGATCTGTTGTTCATAGAGTTCCTGTGAGTCACACTTAACTCCAAGACATCTAACAAGAAGAAGAAAAGAGCTCAGCCAACCCATAGCCAGGCTTGGACTCCACCAGCGGCTCCACAGAAAAAAGATGGCCAGTCTCCTCCCATGTCGTTTAGTGCCTCTGAAAACCCACTGGCTGGTCAAGGATGAGTTAGTTCCAGCTTGAGGCAGAAAGAGAGAGAAAGGAGGGGGAGAGAGAGAGAGAGAGAGAGAGAGAGAGAGAGAGGGAGGAGAGAGAGAGAGACAGAGACACAGTTAGTCGAGATGTTGTATCCCATACAGAAGGCTGTGGTTCAGTAACTTCAAATCTTCATTGGCTTGTGTCATTTGCATACCACAGGTTGTTAATGAGTCTTCTTCCAATTCTGATACCACATTCTTGTTCATATAGTCCAGCCTCTCTAATTATTTGCTCAACAAACCTACTGAATACATGGTATCAAAGGATAAAACCCTGAGACACAGCTTTCCTGGTTTTAAACCACGTGGAGTTTCCTTGTTCATATTTGGACAACTGACGACATCTGTGAAAAGAGAGTGGAAAAGTTCAATATCATCAGGTAAAGCAAAGCCATGGATCAACGGTGGAAGAGACCATCCATTGCTCATATACAAGTTCAAACTGAAGTGGAAGAAGAATGAAAGAAAGTCTACAAGAGACAAAATATCACCTTGAGTTTATCTCACCAAGATTTACAGCTTTGGAAGCCCTAAGAGTTAGTTCTACACTATCCTACAAGGTCATTATAAATGGAAATTTGCTTGATGGCTGTGGGCTGGGATTTTGAATTCTGTTTTCATTATAATTAATAAATAAGGTGTTGCCTATTGGTCCAGTGTTATATTAGGGTAATCTGCTCTCACGGACCTCACCAAAGTTCTAAAGAGCAAGGATATGAATATGAAAACCAAAGAGGCGCCGATCCAAGCCACGACCTTTTCAATTGCTTCCTTTGCATCTGACAGTTAGACAATGAAGAAGAATGAGAGAAGAAGAATCGATGCTTTGAATTGTGGTTTTGGCACAAAGTATTGAATATGCCACGGGCTGCCAAAAGAACAAACACATGTGTCTTTAAATGTGCTCCTGACACTTTCTCAAAAAGTTGCAAATAGAAATACCATTTGACCCACCAATTCCACTACTGGGAATATAGCCTAAAGAAACCATAACTGCCACTCAAACAGATAAATGCACACCCATGTTTATTGTGGCTTTGTTTACAATAGTAAAGAGTTGGAAACAAACCAAGTGCCCATCAACACATGAATGGATAGAGAAGCTGTGGTATATTCATATAATGGACTACTACGCTGCATTGAAAAACAAGGAACTCGCAATATTATACAAAATGGGTGACCCTGGAGGATGTTATGCTGAGTGAAGAATCTCAGTCACAAAAATACAAATACTGCATAATGCCACTGTTATAAAAGAGGACTGACACAGGACTTAGAGACTGAGAAAGAGGGGATAAATTATGTGTACTGCATTGAAACAGATGAGGGAGAGAACTGTTTAAAAGGGATATGTAATTAGGTATTATTGTCATGACAGGAGTCCAGAATGAAGGCAGCATAGTGGAGTGGACTTGAGCGCGGGGAGTCTTTCATAACAATGAAAGACTTTTTCTTTACTTTTCAAAGAAAAGAGCAAAAGGGGGAGGGTTGGGCAGGGAGAAAAGTGCAACAATGAATGAATGGAAACCCTAAGTCTCTGTAAACTTTAATTAAAATGATTTTAAGTGCTCCTGAGAGGCAAGGATTAAAACTTGTTGTTACTTACTTTGGACACGTTTTCAGGAGGAACCAGTCCTCGGAAGGAGACATCATGCTGGGGAAGGTAGGGGATCAGCCAGAAAGAGGTAGACCCTGAACGAGATGGATTGACAGGGTGCCTGTAACAAGGGCGTGAGTATATCAAAGATGGTGAGGATGGTACAGCACAGGGCAAGGTTCACACCTGTGGTCCGCAGAGTGGCTGTGAGTCATAGTTGACTTGATGGCACCTAACAACAACAATAAAAGAGAAACTAGTGTTTTATATATAAAATATCTGGACATAAAAGAAGTCATATTGGCCAACTAAGCACATGACTCATACATAAATCCAGTTAAAAGGACAATGAAATATCAAGAAAATTATAACAAATGATAGTGTCAAAGGAGGTGTTATAACTCACATTGTTGGTTGGTACAAGTGCTTTGGAACTTAAATATAAGATAAAAAGAAATGATTGCAGGAATCACCTTGGGGACATACACGTGCCTGGATCCCCTATCCTCTAAAGCCCTTGCCATCAGGGGGCCAGGTAGGAGGGCTGTTGGGAGTGGATGGATAGCTCGATGAGTGAAATCAGAGCTAATGGCTTCAGGATTGAAGGTAGGTGTACTGGAATCTGTATTTGCAATCCTCTGGCTCCGTGAGACAAGGCTGCTTGTCTTCTGTTTGTGCCCAGGGTGTGTGGGAGAGCCCTGAGCCTAGGAGCCCTCTCTGGAGATGGTTAATTCGGGTTGGATGATTCCAAGCACCCACATCCATCCGCACTCCCGCATCCTCTAGGAGTGAGCGTCCAGTGCGGCGCGCTCAGTGGGTGGGGACCAGAGCGCTTAGAGGGCCGGAGCGCCCTCTCTCGCCCCATAGGGGTCCACGCTGGTCTGTCAAACGCCGACCCGCGCCTTCAGCACCCACTCCCGGATCTCCGTGCTAGGGGCGGGAGCATCGAATCCTGGCGACGGTCCGCGAGGACCTGCAGAGGGGGCGTCCCCGCGCGCTTCGGGGGCGGGGGATGGGACGCAGACGCTGTTGGCGGCGGAGCGGTTCCACCTGTTGCAGCGTGGGAGCGCGGCGGCTGGCCAGCAAAGCTTGCACCTCCGCTTCCCGCGCGCTCATCCGCCCCTGGTGGCCAGGCGACAGGGTCCCAGGAGCGCGGGGTGGTGGCTCCAGGTAGGTGAACGCGCAGCGCCAGTGCCCCTGAAGGGGGAGGATCTCAGGGGAAGGGACCTCAGCGGGCCAGGGGGTGCAGCCTGGTCAGCTCCCAGGAGGCGCAAAGCACAGGGTTCATCCAGAAACTCTGGCGAGCTCGGTGACATCCCAGGCTGGGAGGGGAGAAGGGACCGATGGAGTCACGGTCTCCGGGATGTGGGCTCCTCCGGAGCGGGGACTGGCTGGCTGCGCGCGTCTACGCGAGAAGGCAGGACCCCGAGACAAGGGTCCCCTGCCCTGGTAGGAGGAGGCTGCCCGGGGTGTGTCTAACTTTCCTCGGTCCTCATGCCAACCTACCTCTCCCGGCTCTTCTCTGCAGCCGGTGCGCCCCGATGCTGCACCACGTCGGGCTGGGCTGGAGATCTGAGCCCGATTCGCTCACCCGTCCAGAACCTGCTCCGACCTCTACGCCCAAGAAGCCGGGTCTGTGATTCCGAGACGAGCAGCTGGAAACCCCGAAATCATCTGGCGAGGCGCCTTCAGAACCCGCCGCGTGAGACCCGAGTTCTTGAAGTCGGTGCTGGAAAGGCGATGGCTGAAGGGACCAAGACTTGCCCACCGGCCTCGGGAGCTCCCGGACAATGACCTGGGGACAGAATTCAAGTTGGGCCGAGACCACCCCGAGCACACACCACGGCCCTCCGCGGCGCTAAACCCGGGCGGCGGGCGTGCAAGGCAGTCGAGCAGAAGTGGACAGTGCGCCCAGCGCCACGGGTTCGGACACGGCCGGCGGGCGGGGCGGGGGCAGCGAAGCGGATTTGAAACCCAGAGGCGACGCGGAAGTGGGGAGCTGGAGCCGCAGGAGCAGCCGAGGCTGTGGGCTGGGGGGGCCTGGCGGCGGGGGGCGCGCCCGGCGGGCATGGGCGAGCCGGGGGCGGGCTGAGCGCGTCCGGAGCCCCCAGCGCCCCTGAGGCCCGGGCGCGCGTGCCCTCGCCATGGCCGGCCGGAGCGGCGGCGGCGGCCCGGGCGCCCTGAACGAGGACAACGCGCGCTTCCTGCTGCTGGCCGCGCTCATCGTGCTCTACCTGCTGGGCGGCGCCGCCGTGTTCTCGGCGCTGGAGCGGGCGCACGAGCGCCAGGCCCGGCAGCGCTGGGAGGAGCGCCTGGCCAACTTCAGCCGCCGCCACGACCTGAGCCGCGACGAGCTGCGCGCCTTCCTGCGCCTCTATGAGGAGGCCATCGCGGCCGGCATCCGCGTGGACCACGTCCGCCCGCGCTGGGACTTCACTGGCGCCTTCTACTTCGTGGGCACCGTCGTGTCTACCATCGGTAAGTGGAGGCTGCGCGCGCGCGGGAGGGACTCTGCGGCCACCTCCAAGTGGTCCCCGCGGCCGCCTGCGTCTGCTGACACCCTCCGTGTCCAGCCCTGTCCCCGTGTGTGCGGTGGTCCTTGCCTCTCTGCGTGTGGTCTGTGAGCCGCAGCATCCTGTGCACTTGATAAAAATACGGTCTTTGCGTACTGGGCTATCTATCTGTCGAGCTAACCAGCAGGTTGGCAGTTCGAATCCACCTGTGGCATCACAGATGGGGGGAGGGGGAAGAAATGAGGCAGGCGGCTTCCACAAAGCTCTAGGTTCTCATATGGCAGATAGAAGATCGCTGCACTTCGGAATAGACTGCATAGCAGTGGGTTTGGGCTTGGTTTTGGCCTGTCCTCTGGACTTGATTTTAACCAAGTCCCCAGAGGTTCAAGGACACCTTAAGTCCCGGTGACATAGTGTTAGGTGATTGGGCTGAGAATAGGGAGGTCAGCGGTTCAAGCCCACTAGGCACCCAGCGGGAGGAAGACGAGCAGCCTTCTGGGTAGAATCATGGGATTGGTGTTTCGGTTAATCAGAGAAGCCTTGGCCCTGGTGACCCGGTGGACTTGAGCATTGAGCCATTAGCTGAAAAGTGGGCAGTTCAAATCCACCTTCCACTTGGTGGGAGCATTATGAGGCAGTCTGCTCTTACTACAGTCACAGGCGTGGAGACCCGGTGGGGTGGGGTGGTTGTATGCTATCTTACATACATGGTGTCAGTCAGAAGTGGATTTAGGTGGCAGGAGTACTCACTCCCATGGTCCACATGCTTAAAACCCTCAGCTCTTGGGCAAAAGGTTACGGTTTGAGTCTATCTAACTAGAGGTGCCTAGGGAACTATTGAAAACTGAACTTGGGAAAACCCAGTGGAGCACATTATCTGGCTCAGATGAGCTCTCCAGGAGTCGAATGTCTCCACAAGAGCTGGGATGATGGTGGGGGACTGGGAAACTGCCTTCAGAGATTGCAGGAAGAGATGGGCTTTGTGTTCATGTCTTTGAGGAGAAAACTGTTTACAAATAAGGACCATTTATGCGTTGAGTTAGCACCTCCACACAAGGCCTTGTGCTAGGTCAGCCGAGAACCTGCAGATTACTCTGACTGCTTTTTCGTTTTGCTTTGACTTTTCCGGTGGTGTGCAGTCCATAGGGAGTTGCACTGCTAACCCAAGGACTGCATCGCCTCTCTGGCAAATCAGATCCTCCAGTGCCACTGCAGGAGAAAGGTGGGCATTGGCCTCCAGGAATGGACGGCGTTGGAACTGGTGGAAGGTCAGGCACCGGTCAATTCCAAGTTGATGGCAATGAGACGTACATTAGAGAAAATACAACCCACCTCATTACTATCAAGTCAGAATCAACTCATAGCTAATCCCCTAGCAGGCTTTCAGAGGCTCTAATTTGCATGGAAGGAGACTGCCCATTTTTCTCCCTAAAGCAGCTGGTGGGATTCAAATCACCTGCCTTTGGGGTTGGCTGTACGCCTTTTTACCGACTAGGCCACCAGAGCTTCCTGACTTTACGTGTTTGTGCAACCCTGGTGTGTGGTGCATTACATGTTGGTTTACTAACCCAAAGGTTAACAGTTCTAATCCACCAGCTGCTCCACAGAATAAAGATGACAATGTTGCTTTCCGCCTTGGAACGTGATGGAGAGGGTCACCATGAGTTCATGTTGACTGAACGGTAGTGGATATTTTGGGGTCCAGGGAGCCTTAGTCCATAGGGGATTGCAGTGCTCACCCCAAGATTGAAACTCTCTAGAGACTTGAATCCAGCAGTGGCTCCTAGTGAAAAAGGTGAGCAATTTATTCCTGTGCAGTTTATAACGTCAGAAACTTCATGGAAGTTCAACTATGATTTGATCTGACTTGATAGCCATGGGATGTATGTGTTACTATGGGCTGTCGCGTCAGGACTGAGTCATCGCTGACCCTGCGGAGGGTTTTCAGAGGCTGTTACCACACCAAAGGAGACTGCTCGTCTTCCGCCTGTCGAGCAGCTGGTGCATACAGGTCCCCTGCCTTTGGTTTGGCAGCGCAACTCCTTACCACAACCAAAGCATGACTTACATCCAAAGCATGTATGTGTGAGTGTGTACAGATCATGGTCACCACCAGTGTGTACGTGTGTGTGTATATGTGTGGATTGTTGTGTGTCAAGTAGGAACCCACCCATAAGTGACCCTCCAGCTGGTTTTCAGAGGCAGTGAACTGCACGAGAGGAGATTCCCCATGCTTCTCCTGAGAGAGATACATAGATTAAGAAAAGATCAATTATCGGGCGCTCTGGTGGCTTAGTGGTGAGGAGTTGAGTTGCCGATTCAATAGCATGTAAATCGGATCCACCAGCTGCTGTAAATGAGAAAGATGAACACTCCCGTGTGATTAACTGCCTCTGAAAACCAGCTGGAGGGTTGAGTTATGAGTTGATTCCAACTCAACAGTACTCAACAATGACATAGGGACCACACTCTCAGTCACTTAAATATTGCCTTTTTATTTTCACATTACTTGATGATGGTTTTCTTCTATAGTCTGCAAACACTCTTAGGAAGCCAATCACAAGAAGCACACAAGAAAATCATAAAAAATGTATATGAATCTTAGGGATCTCTGGTGGCCTAGCGGCAAGAAGCTGCACTGCAATCCTGAAGGTGCATGGTTTGAATCAACCAGAAGCTCTGCTGGAGAAGGAGGGGCAGTCTCCTCCTGTGCCAATCAGATCCGATTCAACAGTACACAACAACAGTACACAACAACAACAAATGTATATAAATCTTTAAGATCAGACATTTAAATGGAAAAATGTGAGACATGAGTGTGTCTGTGGAGTTGAGAGGTGCTTTGTTTCAGACTAAGATCCCTGAGAAGCAGACCCAAGGCTAAGGATTTGAGGGCAGCCAGTTTACTGGGAGGTGCAAGGTGTCCAGGTAGGAGGAGGAAGTGATCCAGGGACAAGAAGGAAGTCAGTACAAGGTATATTACTAAGGCAGCGCCCACAGTGGACAAGTGGCGCCTGATCTGAGTGGAAGTTTGAAAACAATGCCAGGCACGTGCCCCAGGATAACCCCAGCCCAAGGAGTCCAGGACTTGTACGTCCACACTTGTAAATTGATTAAAGACCACTCCCGTTGTTGTGAGGTGTCATTAAGTCAGTTTCTGACTGATAATGACCTTAGAGATTCAGAGGGTTTTCCTGGCGATGGAAGCAGAGCCCCGGTTGCGCTGTCAGCTGAAAGATTGACAGCTCGAACCCATCAGCTGCTCTGTAGCAAACAGAGGAAGCGGTCTCCTCAGAGACCTGATGGAGGATTTCCGTGAGCAGAAGTGACTGAGTGGAAGCAGATTTGAGTAGTCTTTTTTATGGGAGCAAATCACCAGGCCTTTGTCCTGGATAGATTAGAACCGCTAGATTAGTTGTGGTTCAACACTTAAATTACTGATCCAACAAAATCATTGAATCAAACCTATAGCTATTTAATGAATTTCAACACAAAGTGACTCTACAGGGCAGAATTCTGCCCCATAAAGTTATGTTTCTGGGAGCCGAATGCCACATCTTTCTCCCCGGGGCCCATTGCTGGGTTCCAACTTCAGACCTTTCTCTTAGCAGCCAGCCAGGCCTCCCCGGGTTCCTGTAAGCTTCCCCCTGCAGCAGTGTTGGGGGGGAGGTGGTGTAAATCTTCAGGCCTTCTGGCCTGATTTTTCATGAACAGCCCAAAGGCAGCCCTCCGTTGGCTCTGAAGTTTAACGTTATGTGCCCAGAAATGGTGGTGAGCAACCCAAGGGTCAAAATGCTAACAGTGGCTGTCCAAGCTTCATGCCAGACAGAGCCGTGACCCAGAATAGAATCCTGAGGAGAAAAGAGGAACCCTTTTTCCTGGACTGAATCATCATTTTCCCAGAAAATGCAACTGAAGATTTTATTCCGCTGCTATCTAATTGAGACCTCTGATTTAAGTCAGAGCTGAATATGAAACACAGCTCCACGATACTGATCAGACTTGAAACAAGAAACACTTAAATTACCCCGGCAGGTAGATTGACAGAATGTCCTGTGAATTATCTGCCAGCATCTTTTCTCTCCAATGTGCTTTTTGCCAGATGAATGTGTGTCTGTGTTTATCTGTGTATTTGGACCTCAGTTTCTGTCCAAAGAAGATTTGAGGTAATTTGCATATCATGTGAGCCAAAGCACCATTAACAAGCTACCCCCCTAAATCTTGGTAACTTCACACAGCAAATGTTTACGTCTTACCTAGGACTTATGGTATACAACAACAACAACAACAGAGCTCACTGTAGGTGTGGGGACTCAAAGCCTGGTCCCCTGTATTGCTTTAATATCCCAGTCTTTATTAATCTGTGATCACTACCTGGGAATGATATCGGTCACATTCATTCACCTTTCATTGACCAAACCAAATGGCATGGACATACCCAACTTTAAGGGGTCAAGGAAGCACAGCAATCCTCTCAGTCCGTAGGTGAATACCACAGATATTGGAAATACATCCACTTAGCAACATGATTAGATTCTAAAGACCAAGTCATGCAAAACACAGTGTTATGTAAAAAATAGAGGATCTCTTTGTCTCAGACCACAAAATAGTGACATCAGTACACAGCTTCCAAATGGCACCATGGCACAGTTGCCAAACCCTGCTATTCCTTGACTTCCACGTCATTAGAATCATGACCCACGCAAGCTGACACATAGCCTTAACTATTATAACCTGCATTACTTTTCTCTCATATCTTGGCATTCATTCTTACCAATCATAGTTGTTAATGCATGAAATTAGTTGAATAGTAGATGTTTTTATTGTTATAAGTGCAAAGGTCAGATAATGAGATAGTGAAGAATGGGTGTAGCATGCATCTCAGAATTAAGCCAGGTGAGGGCCCTGGAGCACAGCAGTGATGCCTCCTTCACAGGGCATACATACAGCACGCTAGCAATGGGT